GTGTGTTGGTGTTGGTGTGTTGATGTTGGTGTGTTGATGTTGGTGTGTTGGTGTTGGTGTGTTGATGTTGGTGTGTTGGTGTGTTGGTGTTGGTGTGTTGATGTTGGTGTGTTGATGTTGGTGTGTTGGTGTTGGTGTGTTGATGTTGGTGTTGGTGTGTTGGTGTTGGTGTTGGTGTGTTGGTGTGTTGGTGTTGGTGTGTTGATGTTGGTGTGTTGATGTTGGTGTGTTGGTGTTGGTGTGTTGGTGTTGGTGTGTTTATGTTGATGTGTTGGTGTTGGTGTGTTCATGTTGGTGTGTTCATGTTGGTGTGTTCATGTTGGTGTGTTCATGTTGGGCTGAAGGTGTACCATTTGTCCAAATTCAGCGGTACTTTCAAATTGCCTTTTACGTCCCTGTATGTGTACTCCTCATTACTATCAGTACTAGCTAAACATGTGACTGGGCTGCTCTAATACACGAAAAGAAAACCGAAGATTAAAAACAATGTTGCAATGTTCAGGCGTAAATAAGAAATGAAACAAAAAAGGCATTTAAAACACAAGGTAATCAGTTTATAAAATGCTTCAATGTCCGATATTTTGCAATAATTTTTGGAGGTGTTCCCGATTGATGTCGGATGTTGCGTATGCAATTCGTCTGTCGTTGCTGAGCTTTAAAAACAGTTACCACAGCGACTGAAGCAATATTGCTCAGGGTAAAGCAGCCCAGGATTGCCTGGACTATGCAGAGGACGCTGGTGTAAAATAGTGAAATAATTTAGGTCGAGGACTCGCTGATATGTCAGATACAACGAGTGGACACAGTCGGCCTGGGGAGCCATGGGGAACATGGCATCAATATGAGGTGTAGAGCCATTGTCGTCTTTAGATACTGAGTTGCTGCCACGGTAGCTAGCACGGTACGTGGAGTGTTATTCTCTCAACCTGGTCACGGACTCTGTCAATGGCCACTAATTCATCCTTGTCTGAACCGTCAACGGAGCTCCACCACCACTGACACACCACCACCAGTCACACAGCACCACCAGTCACACAGCATCACCAGTCACCCAGCACCACCAGTCACCCAGCACCACCAGTCACACAGCACCACCAGTCACCCAGCACCACCAGTCACCCAGCACCACCAGTCACCCAGCACCACCAGTCAGACATACAGCACCACCAGTCACACAGCACCACCAGTCACACAGCATCACCAGTCACCCAGCACCACCAGTCACCCAGCACCACCAGTCACACAGCACCACCAGTCACCCAGCACCACCAGTCACCCAGCACCACCAGTCACCCAGCACCACCAGTCACCCAGCACCACCAGTCACACAGCACCACCAGTCACCCAGCACCACCAGTCACCCAGCACCACCAGTCACCCAGCACCACCAGTCAGACATACAGCACCACCAGTCACACAGCACCACCAGTCAGACATACAGCCCCACCAGTCACACAGCATCACCAGTCACCCAGCACCACCAGTTAGACATACAGCATCACCAGTCACCCAGCACCACCAGTCAGACAGCACCACCAGTCACACAGCATCACCAGTCACCCAGCACCACCAGTCACACAGCATCACCAGTCACCCAGCACCACCAGTCACCCAGCACCACCAGTCACCCAGCACCACCAGTCACCCAGCACCACCAGTCACCCAGCACCACCAGTTAGACATACAGCATCACCAGTCACACAGCACCACCAGTCACACAGCACCACCAGTCACACAGCATCACCAGTCACCCAGCACCACCAGTCACACAGCATCACCAGTCACCCAGCACCACCAGTCACCCAGCACCACCAGTCACCCAGCACCACCAGTCACCCAGCACCACCAGTCACCCAGCACCACCAGTTAGACATACAGCATCACCAGTCACACAGCACCACCAGTCACACAGCACCACCAGTCACACAGCATCACCAGTCACCCAGCACCACCAGTCACACAGCATCACCAGTCACACAGCACCACCAGTCACACAGCACCACCAGTCACACAGCATCACCAGTCACCCAGCACCACCAGTCACACTGCACCACCAGTCACACAGCACCACCAGTCACACAGCACCACCAGTCACCCAGCACCACCAGTTAGACATACAGCATCACCAGTCACACAGCACCACCAGTCACACAGCACCACCAGTCACACAGCATCACCATTCACCCAGCACCACCAGTCACACAGCATCACCAGTCACACAGCACCACCAGTCACACAGCACCACCAGTCACACAGCATCACCAGTCACCCAGCACCACCAGTCACACTGCACCACCAGTCACACAGCACCACCAGTCACACAGCACCACCAGTCACCCAGCACCACCAGTCACCCAGCACCACCAGTCACACTGCACCACCAGTCACACAGCACCACCAGTCACCCAGCATCACCAGTCACACAGCACCACCAGTCACCCAGCACCACCAGTCACACAGCACCACCAGTCACCCAGCACCACCAGTCACACAGCACCACCAGTCACCCAGCATCACCAGTCACACAGCACCACCAGTCACCCAGCACCACCAGTCACACAGCACCACCAGTCACCCAGCACCACCAGTCACCCAGCATCACCAGTCACACAGCACCACCAGTCACACAGCACCACCAGTCACCCAGCACCACCAGTTAGACATACAGCACCACCAGTCACCCAGCACCACCAGTCACACAGCACCACCTGTCACCCAGCACCACCAGTCACACAGCACCACCAGTCACACAGCATCACCAGTCACACAGCACCACCAGTCACACAGCATCACCAGTCACAAAGCATCACCAGTCACCCAGCACCACCAGTCACACAGCACCACCAGTCACACAGCATCACCAGTCACACAGCACCACCAGTCACACAGCATCACCAGTCACCCCGTGAGGCTCAACACCCATGTGTCACCCACCTGGTGGCTGGCAGCATCCTCCCCGGACCACAGACATACACATCTGGCAATATTCATGTATGCTTCCGTTGTTATACTTTGTGAGTTGACGACTTGGCTTAGCTCAGATAGTTTGTGTCATGGAGAGGATTAATCCTCACACCCGCAATGTTGATCTCACACACACAAAGGAGGCTTGTTATTGTTTAATTTGCAACAATGGGTTGCCTGTCGTTCCTGCATGGGAAGCCAATTTCAGCCTTGGTTTAGCAACAGTTTCTCCGCGTCTTATTGAAATTACAAAATTTTATGCAGTGAAAACTGCTGTCCTGACAAATTGCAATCCTGGTGGAATGTGTGTTTGAATGGAATATGCCTCTTTAATGCAGGCTTGGAGTAGTTTCCTAAGGAAACTCCTCCAAGCTTATTCTAAAGAGGCACCCTTCTTGAGCCCAGATGGTCACATGTATAGGCAAGTAGAAGGGGTCGCCATGGGTTCTCCCCTAGGTGTCCTGTTTGCGAACTTCTACATGGGCACCATAGAGCAGATGGTCTTAGTTGACATGAACTTGAAACCCGCCATATACTGCAGGTATATTAATGACATTTTTACACAGGTACCTGATGCTACACGTCTGCAGCAGCTGAAGGAGGCATTTGAGCGGAATTCTGTGTTGAGTCTCTCTTATATAACATATATTTGTCTAATGTTTTGGATCCTCTCACTAGTGAGAGGATTTTAGTCATGTGCAATACTGAAGAATAGTTACCCCCTTACTCTGATAAAGGGCCGTGGCGTGAGAAACCTTTGGAAGGATCGTCTGTTTTATGGGAATACGGACAAATTATTACTAGCAAGAAATTTATGTTAATATTCCCGAGATCAGAGAATACTGGTGCATAATAAGGAAACATTGTTTTTACAAGTTTGTTTCGAAACTACGTAACGTAGCTGTGTAGCCGGCGAGCAGTGCCAAAAATCGTCGTGGGGGTGTGAATGTGACCCTGGCACGCTGTTCTTATTTGAATTCTGCTGACCCAGACTAGCCTATGTTCCTCCCGTAGCACAGACCATTCCCACCCCCAAATTGGGTGAGGTTAGTTTCATGCGTGTGGCCTCCAACATCGACCAGACACGCTGCATCATTGTGCTGGCCTCACCAAAATTGATAGAGGGTGATGGTCTGTGGTACGGGATGAACATAGGCTGTTCTGCGATCCCAGAAATAAAAAGTAATCCTCCGTAATCAACAACAGACAATAACACCAACCACACAATAAAATCAACAACAGTAACACCAACCAAACACTGTAATCCACAACACACAGTATCCCCCGAGCCACTGTAACACTGTAACACCAGACCTTCACTATAATAAACTACACACAGCAACCTCAAATACCTCACTATTGACATCATGAAAATCGCATGGGGTGCGTCTCTACAAATACTAATATCAAGGCATTTCACTTATGCGGACCCCCACCAGCTTATGCGTGTGGCCAGTACCCCAGACCATTCCCCCTGCAAGGTTGGATGAGACTAGCCCCAAGCGTTTGACCTTCAGCCTTGAACGGACAGACAGACAGTCTCTCGCATAGATATGGATGGAAATGGCTGTGTAGGGTTGGAGGTCAGATGAGGAACAGTGTGGAGAGAGAAGGAGGCAAAAAGAAAATGGAGAAGGGACAGGAAAGGTGGAAACGTAGGAAAAGAAAACGGGGAAAGAGGGAGGGATGGATGTGGAGAAAGGTGGGTGGAAGAGGGGAGGAATAGGGGAGTATTAATTAGCATTGTCTATCACGTTCTTGATCCGAACGTCTCTACTCCCCACGTCTCTGCTCCCCACGTCTCTGCTACCCACGTCTCTGCTCCCCACGTCTCCGCTACCCACGTCTCTGCTACCCACGTCTCTGCTCCCCACGTCTCCGCTACCCACGTCTCTGCTACCCACGTCTCTGCCTCTCCACGTCTCTCCTAGCCAAGTCTCTGCTACCCACGTCTCTGCTACCCACGTCTCTGCCTCCCACGTCTCCGCTACCCACGTCTCTGCTACCCACGTCTCTCCTACCCACGTCTCTGCTAGCCACGTCTCTGCTACCCACGTCTCCGCTACCCACGTCTCTGCTACCCACGTCTCTGCTCCCTACCTCTCTGCTCCCCACGTCTCTGCCTCCCACGTCTCTGCTCCCCACGTCTCCGCTACCCACGTCTCTGCTCCCCACGTCTCTGCTCCCCACGTCTCTGCTCCCCACGTCTCTGCCTCCCCACGTCTCTGCCTCCCCACGTCTCTGCTCCCCACGTCTCTGCTCCCCACGTCTCTGCTCCCCACGTCTCCGCTACCCACGTCTCTGCTCCCCACGTCTCTGCTCCCCACGTCTCTGCTCCCCACGTCTCTGCTCCCCACGTCTCTGCTCCCCACGTCTCTGCTCCCCACGTCTCTGCTCCCCACGTCTCTGCTCCCCACGTCTCCGCTACCCACGTCTCTGCTCCCCACGTCTCTGCTACCCACGTCTCTGCTCCCCACGTCTCTGCTCCCCACGTCTCTGCTACCCACGTCTCTGCTACCCACGTCTCTGCTTCCCACGTCTCCGCTACCCACGTCTCTGCTCCCCACGTCTCTGCTCCCCACGTCTCTGCTCCCCACGTCTCCGCTACCCACGTCTCTGCGGCCCACGTCTCTGCTTCGCACGTCTCTGCTCCCCACGTCTCAGCTCCCCACGTCTCCGCTACCCAAGTCTCTGCTCCCCACGTCTCTGCCTCCCCACGTCTCTGCTCCCCACGTCTCTGCTCCCCACGTCTCTGCTCCCCACGTCTCCACTCCCCACGTCTCCGCTACCCACGTCTCTGCTCCCCACGTCTCTGCTCCCCACGTCTCTGCTCCCCACGTCTCTGCTCCCCACGTCTCTGCTCCCCACGTCTCTGCTCCCCACGTCTCTGCCTCCCCACGTCTCTGCTACCCACGTCTCCGCTACCCACGTCTCCGCTACCCACGTCTCTGCTCCCCACGTCTCTGCTCCCCACGTCTCTGCTCCCCACGTCTCTGCTCCTCACGTCTTTGCCTCCCATGTCTCTGCTCCCCACGTCTCCGCTACCCACGTCTCTGCTCCCCTCGTCTCTGCTCCCCACGTCTCTGCTCCCCACGTCTCTGCCTCCCCACGTCTCTGCTACCCACGTCTCCGCTACCCACGTCTCCGCTACCCACGTCTCTGCTCCCCACGTCTCTGCTCCCCACGTCTCTGCTCCCCACGTCTCTGCTCCCCACGTCTCTGCCTCCCACGTCTCCGCTACCCACGTCTCCGCTACCCACGTCTCTGCTCCCCGCGTCTCTGCTCCCCACGGCTCTGCCTCCCACGTCTCCGCTACCCACGTCTCTGCTCCCCACGTCTCGGCCTCCCACGTCTCTGCTCCCCACGTCTCTACCTCCGAGGCTCATGAGTTAAAAGCCTCACTGAAGCTCTGAATGAGGAATGTGTAAAAATAACTTAAAAAATATGTTTTCGGTAGTAATGTGGGTGTAAAAAAGCATAAAGAAATCAGATCTTGATTTGTCTGATAAGCTAAAACGTTTGATTTAGCAAGTGAACGAGAAATAATATTTTAATATCGGTTGCAATGATCACATAAGCTTTTGTTTCCGGTGTTGTTTAGTGCATGGAGCAACATTTGCAAGCATGTTGGTCATTTTCAAAACATCACTTGTTCAACAACGACAGCCTCCATGTTAATGATGATGACTGAGTACATTGAGACTCTTGACTGAGACGACTGAGTACATTGAGACTCTTGACTGAGACGACTGAGTACAGACTCTTAAACAAGTCAACAAGAACGTTTGGCTTTATACAAAATTTCTGTATAACCTTCCTTCATATGACATGACATGGCAAACTTCAAAGAATTCATGCTCGTTCCATGGGAATATATTAATGCTATTTAATATTAGTATATTTTGGTAGCAGTCTTTCCTGTAGACATATATTATTAAATATGACCGAAAAAGTAAGATTAATAATTCTAACACGAATTTTCTCAATCGTTCGTACATTTCTTTTCACTGTTGGTGGTAATTCAAAAATCAATTCTCCAAAATTCATTTTTATTTCTAGTCTGACGCGACACTTGAGCGCGTTTCGTAAAACTTATTACATTTTCAAAGACTTTAGTTTACACATACACAACTGAATAGAACTTACACATCTCCAATTTGTTTATATCTACATTTGAGTGAGGTGGATGGGGTGAGGTGGTATTAATAGGGTATTAAATTCATCAACACAAGACAGAACACGAAACAATGGGTATTGAATGGAAGTGATTGTAGAAAGCCTATTGGTCCATATTTCTTGATGCTTCTATATTGGAGCGGAGTCTTGAGGTGGGTAGAATATAGTTGTGCATTAATTGGCTGTTGATTGCTGGTGTTGACTTTTTAATGTGTAGTGCCTCGCAAACGTCAAGCCGTCTGCTATCGCTGTATCTATCGATGATTTCTGTGTTGTTTACTAGGATTTCTCTGGCGATGGTTTGGTTGTGGGAAGAGATTATATGTTCCTTAATGGAGCTCTTGTGTTGATGAATTTAATACCCTCTTTATACCACCTCACCCCATCCACCTCACTCAAATGTAGATTTAAACAAATCGGAGATGTGTAAGTACTATTCAGTTGTGTATGTGTAAACTAAAGTCTTTGAAAATGTAATAAGTTTTACGAAACGCGCTCAAGTGTCGCGTCAGACTAGAAATAAAAATGAATTTTGGAGAATTGATTTTTGAATTACCACCAACAGTGAAAAGAAATGTACGAAAGATTGAGAAAATTCGTGTTAGAATTATTAATCTTACTTTTTCGGTCATATTTAATAATATAATGCTATTTAGTAAACAAATTAAACTAATAAAGTATATACCAACATCAAAGCGAAATATGTTCTCAATCTTCGATGCATGGTATGGAATAGACCTGTATTACATGAACACAAATTAATAACTTACTGAGTATGCAAAACAGTGTTGCTGTAGTTTTAGTAGTAATGATTAAACAAGATGATGCAAATGTCGATATCAAATATAAATGATGATTGCTCACATATGAAACAAACTACCTAGGTAGATATTGAGAAAAATGACAAGATATTATAAAAAAAAACACCTGAGTATATATTGTCTAGAAATACGGTTGTTAATTTACAGGTTTACAGGTAACATAAAATACAGGTTTATGTTACCTGCCATTATGGTCCTCTGGTTTTTATAACCATAGTTTAAATGGAATAAATACATGACCTTCGTGTAAATCGTACAAATCTTATGGTAAACTTCCTAACAGAGTCACACCTTAGTAGATAGAGCACTGTACACCAACAAGACAATTGTCTAGACAATCCTTATATGATGGAAAACTGTCACATATCATTCAGCCAGAGGTCTTCTTCCTAGGCTTCACAAGCCCCTCTCATCCCTCGGGCACAATCCCCGCCACCACAAAATGTGTTCCAGAGTTAAGAGAAAATAACAACATTAATATTCACGGGCAATTTTCAGACCACTCGCTCTGCACCTGAAAAATCTAGACAAATATGTGTCCGAAAAGCATCAATATACAGGTATTGTCAAGTAATTAATGTCGATGGTTTTAATACGCCAATATAAGAATGGAAAAAGCACATCTTTGATATTTCTTGAAAATTGTGCATAAACTTATATGGATGGGGGTTGTGCTAACTGGTTGATGGTGCTATGTAAGACACTGTACTGTGCTAACTGGCTGATGGTGCTATGTTAAAAGCTGTTTTGTGTTAAGTGGTTGATGATGCAATGTTAGAAAATGTGTTGAGCTAACTGGTTGATGATGCTACCATGTTAGACACTGAGCTTTGTTAAGTGGTTGATGATACTATGTTAGAAAGTGTGCTGTGTTACCAGGTTGATGATTATATGTTATAAAGTGTGCTGTGTTACCAGGTTGATGATTATATGTTAGAAAGTGTGCTGTGTTACCAGGTTGATGATGATATGTTAGAAAGTGGGCTGTGTTAACAGGTTGATGAGCCTACTCTGGATGCAAATATCCTAGAGTTAGGTCAAACTTCAGAGCTGGATAATTCAACCACCAACCGGATGGCAAATATCTCTGTTCAAGCCATCGTTAGATTATATTTAAAATGAATTTTCTTAGTAAAGATTTTAAATCAAAAGTACATCGCCAGATACCTCCAAGAACAATGATACCAAATTAATATTATAAAACAGAAAAACTATGATGCGGATGTAACAAGAATTGAGTTTAGTGGCATATATTAACTAAAAATGTTCATGTGTCTTTACTACCTCGTGTTTCGTCAATACGTACATTATTTTACAATTGAATTTTACAAATATCAAAATGTGTTGTACCTATTAGACTATAACATAGCAGTAACCGAACAATACAAAAATAAATTCGATTAAATCAGAAATATTTAAATTTTTCAAAGCGAAATCTGGATAATTTAGCTGATGACTGACAGCCGTGAAGGTGACAGGAGACCAGTGCTATTTACAGCATCCACTATAATCTATATAAAGAAAATTGGAAATGTTCGTCTGCTCAAAATCTCTAATCTCCAAAAGTCCTTCCCCGATTGCTTTGAAATTTTCACAAAATGTTCCATTGGCATCCGAGCGGGTTTTAATACATACTATATAGATGTCACGTCTGTGACGGGAAAAAACTTTTTTTTTAAACTGTGTTTTTCATGTGTTTTTCGTGTGAGGAAAATATTGAAACCTCTTTACCGATTGCTTTGAAATTTTGACACAACGTTGCATTCGAATAGGTGAGTGCTTTCATTTACCTACTATATACATGCCTCACCTGTGACAGGAAAAAGACATTTTTTTTTTTAAACAGCGCCATCTGTTGGACGTAAGAGCAACACACACGATATAATCTCTGAAAGATTTTAACTGATTGCTTTAAAAATTTGACACAACGTTTCATTCGAATATTCGCGTGTTTTTTATATTCCTACTATATAGATGCCACACCTGTGACAGGTAAAAACATGATTTTGAAAAACAACGCCATCTGTGGCACGTAATAGCAACACACGCTATACTAACTATGTTACGATTCCATTTCATAGTTTCCGATTGCATTAATTTAATTACATACATTTCGATATATTTTAATTTTGATTTAATAATTTTTTGTGAGATTGTGTTGGAATTGGCCTGTGTTGTTTACCGTACCGTTCATTTCATAAGTATAAGGACAGATGCCACACCTGTGACTGGTAAAAACATTTTTTTTTAAGAAACAGTCATCTGTTGCACATAAGAGCAACACACGCTATACTATATATGTTACATTTCCATTTCAATGTTTCCGATTGCACTGACAAATAGAATTTTCATAGATTTCATTTTTTTTTTCATTTGATATAATTATTTTGAGTGACATTGCGTTAGAATTGAGCTGTGTTATTTAACTTACCGTTCATTTCATGAGTTTAAGTATAGATGCCACACATGTGACTGGTAAAAACTTGCTTTTTTTAAAAACACAGCGCCAACTGTTGCACTTAAGAGCAACACACGTTATTCTAAATATGTTACGATTCCTATTTCAGTGTTCCCGATTTCATTGATAAATTGAATTTTCATAAATTTTGATTTATTTTCATTTTGATATAATTATTTTTTGTGACACTGCGTTGGAATTCAGCTGCGTTGTTTAACATACCGTTCATTTCGTGAGTATACTTTATGTTTTAATTTTTTCATCGTTTTTCATTCCATATATTTAACTGTTTTTGATATATATTTCAGTGATGGGAACATCAGATCATTTGATGTTCCCAATTTTCTGATGGCAACATCAGATCATTTAGAAGGCATCAGACGAGGGAGTGGGGAATGGTGGGGAGGACGAGGGGACGAGGGAATGGGAGATAGTGGGGAGGACGAGGGGACGGTGGTGTGGCGGATGGTGGCTAGGACAAGGGGACGGGGCAGGGAGAAATGGTGGGGAGGATAAGGGGATGGGAGAGTGGGGAATGGTTGGGTAGATGAAGGAACGGGAGAATGGAGGATGGTTTGGAGGATAAGGTGATGGGGAGGGGGAAAAAAGGGGGAAGGTCTGGAGGGACAGAGGAAAGTTGCTGTGGCTCAGCAACGCACATGCGTTGCTGAGCCACAGCAACGCGTGGCCGGGTACAGCTAGTTCGTCATAAGCTTCATCAGATGTATTTCAGACTGCTACACTCTCCTACCTATCATGGCTTCAGTAACTACATTGATACATTCGTTTATTATTATTTTGGTGAAGTATATATTTTTATTTTTGTATATTCTACACTAGGGGATGAGAGGGGGGGGATCTGATCGACTGTGACCGACTCTCTCCCAGTCTCCATAAACTGCTAAATAATTCAATGGAAAATACAACTATATTTCAGGACAGGTCGCTATACCTGCCGACGTTTATTAATGTGTAGCACTGGAGTCGACCAAGACTGGCGAATGACATTCCCAATCATTCATCTTGGTAAATTGGGTGAGTCTAGCCCTAAGCGTTTGGCCTCAAACCATGGACAGACATGTTCTTTCATCGAGGCGGATATATACATGTATATTAGAAGGCGTTACTCGGGGTGACATAGGGATACATCTTCACCACACATTATCTTCATCTCTCTAACAATCTTTACTATACACTTGCTTTCTCATGGTAACCATCTTAACTACTGTTATGAGCCTCGGTCACATCTTAACATCTTTTCCTGGTATGAAGACTTATTCCTGGTTCTGGCATACTCTTAGATATAGTAGGCACGCTAGAAGTATAGTTGAGTTTACCATAAACTCTAAAACCAGAGATTTTTAGAGTTAAACTTGAACCAGAGTTTAGAGTAAACCAGAGTTTTGTCTCGAGAGGCAGCAGCCAGGTATTGAGGCTTCGTTTGGTATAGAGCAACATCTTAATTGGAAAAAAGATGTCTTAAGTGGAAAACGTCTAGAGGAGGAGGAGACAGGTGGACGATGTCATCATCACGCAAAGCATCTTTCCTGGGCCAGGTGTTCTAAGGGAGGAGAAGCATGTAGAAAATATATGTTTAAGCATGAGAGCACTTTGTGTTCCAGAAAAACAGGTCCACCATCCACCTATCAACAGAAAAACAGGTCATCCATCCACCTGTCAACAGAAAAACAGATCCTCCATCCACCTATCAACAAAAAAACAGGTCATCCATCCACCTGTCAACAGAAAAACAGATCCTCCATCCACCTATCAACAGAAAATACGTCTTTCTTCACCAATCAACAGAAAAACAGGTCTTCCATCCACCTATGAATAGATAAACTGGTCTTCCATCCACCTATCAACAGAAAAACGTCTTCCATCCACCTATCAACAGAAAAACGTCTTCCATCCACCTATCAACAGAAAAACGTCTTCCATCCACCTATCAACAGAAAAACAGGTCTTTCCTCCACCTATCAACAATGCATGTGACCAGAGGAGAGAAGCAGGAATATATGCTCCGGTATTACTGCTGCGGACTCCCACCAGCATACGAGAGAAATAAAGCAGCAATATTCAAGGAACATATTCATCTCTCTAGCATGACAGCTTATGGCCCTCTGGAGGATAAATGATTGATCACCTGCCAAGGCGTCGACCCTGGGGCGTGGGTTGTCGAGGCGCTCGCCACTCTCCCGAGCCAATCGTCTCCCTACGATGAACGTTAGGGTGATTTTTTCCCCCTTTGGTAAGCTAACTCTAGCCTATTTTCCCCACTATAATGCATGTGTGTATGTTTCTTGCCTGAATTTATCATTAGTGAAATAAGTTATGATGGAAAGGACTCTTAATAATTTGTTTGTAAGATATTATTAATCACGTTGTTAATTCTCTGGGAAATAAATAAGAGGACTGACATTTAGACTGACTTGACTACAGTCCGGCACGCAGTAATCTTTGTGAAATGAATTATGTATATTTATGATGAAGTGCCACAATATCGATAACATAAAATGTTATTTAGTGCTAAACACCAAATTTAGATTGAGACAATATTACAATTATGTCACAGGTAAACATACCACACAAATGTCTATCATGTCTATTTTATTTGACAATATACATTTAATTTGACTTTGTAAAATTAGTAATTTTGTGTTTTGAGGAATGATGATGCGCATCAGATATCTCTGATTTCTTGGTTGGTCTGGCACTCAGTCACGTTATCTGTTATTGCGAACAGGACGCAAGATGTGATTGATCACAAGGTATTATATAAGACAATCACTGTGACGTTTTGTGGGTCATGTGGGCTCTACCTGCTTCAGAAGAGGCTTGAAGAACTCCTTTGTTCTCCATAGATCACCTTGGCTTGGCCGCTTCCAACTGCGCTCTACTCAGTTTCGAACACCGCGGTCTGAGACCTGTACGATGTCCTTAATGTGAAGACCCGTGATGCAACAACTCTACCTGAAAGCATTCAAGAGTTGTCGAGGTGATTCAGGATCAGATTCGCCGACAAAGTTGAAATCTTTATTCTTAGGACAGAAACACATTGCGTAGCTGCCGAGGTGGCCTGCATGAAAGTACTTTTATATTTACTAAGAATTGATTTGCGTGGTCATCCTACGCAAGTAATGTGTGAATATAATGGATATATTTGAGTTTTTTCGTCAGGGACTACACAACGACCATCAGTCTTATGGGTGCTGAGGGGAGAAGACAAGCGTTATGGTGACATGCGCAGCGTGCATGATCACAGTAAAGTGCTTACTACTGAACAGAAGATCGCCTCAGCCACACTTAGAAAGCGGTTCACAGGATTCGTACCAGGACTCAAAGGCTCAGGATAGGACTTCGTTATGACTTTGTGGGATTCAAGAGAGTCATCACAAAAGACCTTTAGATCATTGGAGTTGTTGCAGGAAATTCAAAGTGCGAACAAAGCAGTAACGATTCTTTATACATCTTCCCCGGGACACTTAGCCGAGTGGTGCTGACGTATGAGAAGCCAAGGCATCCTCACTCCAGTACACGCCGAAGGAACTCCAGGTATGAGAATATAAGTGATAGAGTCTGAGAGAGAGAGAGAGAGAGAAAGAGAGACAGAGACAGAGACAGAGAGAAAGAGGTGTTCATTATTTTTAATGACACAGCTGTGAAGAAAGATCCTTTTTGTTACATTATTCTACATTCGTAATATGAAGGCACGAGCCATCTTCGATGATAAAACGAGAACATGATTTGACTGTGAGAAAATACTGAGGTCATGCAATGGGATCGAACAGGCGCCGTGGGTTGTGCCTGTGACTCGGGCGTCCACCAATGCAAGTTCGATGCCATCGCAACACTGCACAATTTCCACAAGCCATGTGTTACCATTATTGGTGGTTTAGCCAGGAAATATTACTCCTTTATGATCGTGTTGGTTTAATAATGTTTTAGTTCTAATGGGTCGTGTTTTAAGTGCATGACTTATATTTCCTGGTAAATATTAGAGAGTAGGCAGTTTATTTTGATTTTAAAGAGTTGTGGATGCTCGCGTGTGTTTGTGCATGTGTGCGTGCGTGTCTGTTCTCACCTAGTTACACTCACCTAGTCGTGATTGAGGGGGTTGAGCTTTGTCTCTTTGGTCCCGCCTCTCAACTGTCAATCAACTGGTGTACAGATTCCTGAGCCTACTGGGCTCTATCATATCTACATTTGAAACTATGTATGGAGTCAGCCTCCACCATAACACTACTTAAGGCATTCCATTTGTTAACTACCCTGACACTGAAAAAATTCTTTCTTAATAACCACCTACAAAAAAATTTTGTAGGTGGTTATCATGTCTCCCCTTACTCTTCTGTTTTCCAGGGTTGTGAGGTTCAGCTCCTTCAGCCTTTCCTCGTAACTCATTCCTCTCAGTTCTGGGACTAGTCTGGTGGCATACCTCTGAATCTTCTCTAACTATGTCTTGTGTTTAACTAGGTGTGTGTGTGTGTGTGTGTGTGTGTGTGTGTGTGTGTGTGTGTGTGTGTGTGTGTGTGTGTGTGTGTGTGTGTGTGTGTGTGTGTGTATGTGTGTGTGTGTGTGTGTACTTATCTCGTAGTACTTACCTAGTTGTGTTTGCAGGGGTTGAGCTCTGGCTCTTTGGTCCCGCCTCTCAACTGTCAATCAACTAATGTACAGGTTACTGAGCCTATTGGGCTCCATCATATCTACACTGGAAACTGTGTATGTAGTCAGCCTCCACTACATCACTTTCTAATACTTTCCATTTGTCATTTTGTCATTCCATTCCATATAATGTGTGTGTGTGTGTGTGTACTCACCTATTTGTACTCATCTATTTGTGCTTGTGGGGGTTGAGCCTTGGCTCTTTGGTCCCGCCTCTCAACTGTCAATTAACACACACAATGTGTGTGTGTGTGTGTGTGTGTGTGTGTGTGTGTGTGTGTGTGTGTGTGTGTGTGTGTGTGTGTGTGTGTGTGTGTGTGTGTGTGTGTGTGTGTGTGTGTGTGTGTGTGTGTGTGTGTGTGTGTACTCACCTAGTTGTACTCACCTAGTTGTGCTTGCGGGGGTTGAGCTCTGGCTCTTTGGTCCCGCCTCTCAACCGGCAATCAACAGCTGTACAGGTTCCTGAGCCTATTGGGCTCTATCATATCTACACTTGAAACTGTGTATGGAGTCAGCCTCCACCACATTATTTCCTAATACATTCCATTTGTCAACCATTCTGACACTAAAAAACTTCTTTCTAATATCTCTGTGGCTCATTTGGGCACTCAGTTTCCACTCAGTTTGTGTGTGTGTGTGTGTGTGTGTGTGTGTGTGTGTGTGTGTGTGTGTGTGTGTGTGTGTGTGTGTGTGTGTGTGTGTGTGTGTGTGTGTGTGTGTGTGTGTGTGTGTGTGTGTGTGTGTGTGCTTGTGTGAGTGTGTTAGGGCAAGAGACAACAAAACTATATCTACTGAACATGAGAGAATGTTTAAGGTTAAGGGCCAGACGCTTGGGGATGGTCTCACTCAACTCTGACACATGACGCATGTGGGGTATGGGAGTGTCGTAGGTAAGTTGGATAAGACTCTAGCGCCACACGTTAAGAAATATTGGCATCTGACACCCCTCCAGTATGTTTTTCGAGTCAAATCTGAAATATTCGTTGTGTTGTCCGTAGACTTAGCTGTGGACAACGGTACTTCGTACAAAAACGTATTCTTGAAGATATCCTCACAGTATACCCAAAATTTGCCAGTGCAGGCTATTAAACACATGGCTCTGTATGACTAACCATCCTGCGAGATGGGGACTTGTATTACCACTGCTACCTTATTCAATCTTGTGGTGTTGATATTCTCAAAATGCATCCGGAGTCTGCCAGTGCAGACCGCTTATCACATGCCTCTGTATGACTAACCATCCTGTGTGATGGGGATTTCTTAGCATCACTTAGTTAGCTTTTTTGACACACTGTACTCCACTTCATATAGTCTAGGGTAGCTGCACTAATGCAGATGTACCTAATATGTTAATAAAAAAAAAAAAAAATCGTTATAGAATATTTCTGAGAAAGAGGGAGAGAGAGAGAGAGCGGGTGTAGACAGGGAAAGAAGAAAGTGGAAAGGGAAGGGGAAGGGGAGAGAGAGGGGGCAATTTTGAAGAGATTGAAGGATAGAGGAGGGAGAAAATTGGAGAGGAGGGAGGTTGTGTGAGAGGGTAGAGAAGGGGAGGAGATAGAGGAATGTTGGAGGAGGAGTGAGAAGAAAAGTGGAGAGGGTGGATGAGTTGCAAGAATTGGGAGGAGAGGGAGAAGAGGGAAAGACCCGGGTACCGCCGGGTACTCTCTCCAGTATATTTATATTGAAATCTTAAAACCTATGACAATTAAAGTATGTTGTTATCAATAGTCTAATTTGAAATTGAGTGATAATTCAGTATCATGTGATTAAGTTCTTTTAAAATATTCTCCATCGTTTAAAGGAAACTTATTCCCTATTTCTGTATATATTATCTTGAGGAAAACAAGGATTTTTGTACGTGTATTGTTATACCCTTAACTGACTAATTGATTTACCAACCTTGTACAGAGTAGGAAGCTAAATGCCCGTGGTGACATTATATGCAGTTGTTGATAATCTTTGCTTTCAGAATCACAAGTAATTATGTCTGTGGTTCAAAGATGTGGTTAACAAGTGGCCGTATCTGAGTCACTATGTAGTCCCAAGTCCGAGAGTGAATGATTATAGTTAACTACTTCATTATATTCTTATAATGTAAACAATCTTCGACTTCACTTCTCAAGAGAAATACAACATGTATACAAGAGCTAACCGCGTCGACAGAATAGCATTAAACAGTAATTAAAGACAAAGGTAATACTTAATATTTACTACGTGGTAAGTTATCAGCGCCTATTAGGGGAGAAATGAAGTCTAACTCCATATTCCCCCGCCCACTGGCCTTGTTGTACCTGTTACGTTATAATTTAGTTATTCTGATGTTCATATGCTTTGTCGATCAGACCTTCAAATTGTGTCTGGGGGTGGGAGCGAACTATTCCTCTTAGGGTATAGTGATCTTGTTGACCACTCGTGTAGGGAACGATTTCTTCCACTCGTAGGCGTTTGCAGCTTCCACTTATGTCCACTTGCCATATTTTCTTTCAATTAAAAAAGGTTGTTCTTGTTCACCTAGTCTCTTCCCCTTAGTATCTTATATGATTTATCATGTTTTCTCTGTTTTCCCTATAATCTAGGATTGTGACATCTAGTTTCATTAGCTGAATCTTCTTAGTTTTGGCACCAGTCATGCTGCAAATTTCTGTACTTGTTAAATTTTGCCTCTATTCTTTGCAAGGAACGGACTCCATGCCGGCGAAGCATATTTCAGTATTGGTCTGACGTATGTTGGTAGGTTTCATTGAAGGAGTCCTGAATTAGGTTCGTAAATGATGTTATAATGTTAGGTCAGTTCCATATATACTGTGTGTGACTCCTGTGCATGTGTGGGAATTAGATCCAGTAACAAATATTTCTCTCGTTCCGCTTCCTGTAGTGGCCAGCCCCTTATGGTGTAGACGTTTCCCTGAGTCCTTGCTCCCAGTCACGTCTTCCCACACCTTACACATGTGGGACGAGACCCTCAGCAACCATTAGTATGCCCCTCCTGAAGTATGCCCCATGAAGTATACCCCCCTGAAGTATGTCCCCTCCTGATGTATGCCCTCTCCTGAATTATGCCCCCGTCCTGAAGTATGTCCCCTCCTGAAGTATGCCCCATGAAGTATACCCCCCTGAAGTATGTCCCCTCCTGATGTATGCCCTCTCCTGATGTATGCCCCCTCCTGAAGTATGCCCACCGAAGTATGCCCCCTGAAGTATGCCCCTCCTGAAGTATGCCCCCCTGAAGTATGCCCCCTCCTGATGTATGCCCTCTCCTGATGTATGCCCCCTCCTGAAGTATGCCTCCCCCCTGTAGTATGCCTCCCCCTGAAGTATGCCCCCTCCTGAAGTATGCCTCCCCCTAAAGTATGCCCCATCCTGAAGTATGCCCCCCTTCTGACGTATGCCCCCTCCAGAAATAGGACATCTGAAGTATGCCCCTCCTGAATTATGCCCCCGTCCTGAAGTTTGCCCCCTCCTGAAGTATGCCCCCCGAAGTATGCCCCCTCCTGAAGTATTCCCCACCTGAAGTATGCCCCCCCCCTCCTGAAGTATTCCCTCACCATAAGTATGCCCCACCTGATGTATGCCCCCTCCTGAATTATGCCCCCCCGTCCTCCTAAAGTATGAAGTATGCCCCCTCCTGAAGTATGCCCCCTCCTGAAGTATGATGCCCCCTCCTGATGTAGTATGCCCCTCCTGAAGTATGCCCCCCCTCCTGAAGTATGCCCCACCTGATGTGTGCCACCACCTGAAGTATGCCCCCTCCTGAAGTATGACCCCTCCTGAAGTATGCCCCCTCCTGATGTATGCCCCCACCGGATGTATGCCCCACCTGAAGTATGCCCCCACCGGATGTATGCCCCACCTGAAGTATGCCCACACCGGATGTATGCCCCCTCCTGAAGTATGCCCCCACCGGATGTATACTCCCACCTGAAGTATGCCCCCACCAGATGTATGCCACCTCCTGAAGTATGACTCCACCGGATGTATGACCCCACCGGATGTATGCCCCCACCGGATGTATGCCCCCTCCTGAAGTATGCCCCCTCCTGAAGTATTTCCCCTCCTGAAGTATGCCCCGACCTGATGTATGCCCCCTCATGAAGTATGTCCCTTCCTGAAGTATGCCCTGAAATATGCCCCCTCCTGAAGTATACCCCCCTGAAGTATGCCCCCTTCTGAAGTATACCCCCTTGAAGTATGCCCCTCCTGAAGTATTATCCCCTGTAGTATGACCCCTCCTGAAGTATGCCCCCTCCTGAAATATGACCCCTCCTAAAGTAAGCCCCCTCCTGAAATATGACCTCTCCTGAAGTATTCCCCTCCTGAAATATGCCCCTTTCCAGATGGACAGATGAATCAGGAAATTCACCAGAGACCAGTCAGGCACAAGGGAAGAGTCTGTAGACCAAACCTGAGAGACCATCATCCAACAGTCGATTACTGCAGGATGATGATGAGGACTCTGGAGAGCGCCAGACCTGGGTATACTCATCACATTAACACACCTGGGAGCAGCAGTAGTGGTGACGGAAGTGTACTGAGACGGTGAACTGAATGCTTTATTCTGGCAATATTAAATATGTTTTTTGTTACTAATCTTGCTGTACCTTTGCAAGGAAATCCTTGCAAATGTGTACACGTCTCACTCCGCATAATCCATCCCAAGTGTACTGGTTGATACAGCTATGGCCTCGCGTCTTGCACGGGCGGTGAGCCATTCCTGATGGTCTAAGTAGTTGGTCTCACCATTCCTTCACTACGTCCCAGCCCCTTGTCCTAATACCTCTTCCAAGTGCCATATAACATGCAGGTATAACGGTTTTCTCCTGAGAATTACCCTACCTCACCTCCCACAGCTGTATTACCCTACCTCACCTCCCACAGCTGAATTACCCTACCTCAACTCCCACAGCTGAATTACCCTACCTCACCTCCCACAGCTGTATTACCCTACCTCACCTCCCACAGCTGAATTACCCTACCTCAACTCCCACAGCTGAATTACCCTACCTCACCTCCCACAGCTGTATTACCCTACCTCACCTCCCACAGCTGTATTACCCTACCTCACCTCCCACAGCTGAATTACCCTACCTCACCTCCCACAGCTGAATTACCCTACCTCACCTCCCACAGCTGAATTACCCTACCTCACCTCCCACAGCTGAATTACCCTACCTCAACTCCCACAGCTGAATTACCCTACCTTACCTCCCACAGCTGTATTACCCTACCTCACCTCCCACAGCTGTATTACCCTACCTCACCTCCCACAGCTGAATTACCCTACCTCACCTCCCACAGCTGTATTACCCTACCTCACCTCCCACAGCTGAATTACCCTACCTCACCTCCCACAGCTGTATTACCCTACCTTACCTCCCACAGCTGAATTACCCTACCTCACCTCCCATAGCTGTATTACCCTACCTCACCTCCCACAGCTGAATTACCCTACCTTACCTCCCACAGCTGAATTACCCTACCTCACCTCCCACAGCTGAATTACCCTACCTCACCTCCCACAGCTGTATTACCCTACCTCACCTCCCACAGCTGAATTACCCTACCTCACCTCCCACAGCTGAATTACCCTACCTCACCTCCCACAGCTGAATTACCCTACCTCACCTCCCACAGCTGAATTACCCTACCTCACCTCCCATAGCTGTATTACCCTACCTCACCTCCCACAGCTGAATTACCCTACCTCACCTCCCATAGCTGTATTACCCTACCTCACCTCCCACAGCTGAATTACCCTACCTCACCTCCCACAGCACGATATGGGCGCAAGGTTCCCCACAATATATTACTCCCTGTTGTTGTGAATCATGTTATAACCGAGAGATCTCTCATCGTAGAATAACACAGACCAAAGACATTTGAGGTTTACACTCCGTGTGAAATTATTTACACATCTAGCTGGTTATCTTATAGTTCCACAACACTATACAAATAGTTAATGACTCGCTATTATTATGAACGATTACACCAGTATGATTATTAAAAGTATTAACATAGCAACGATTATAAAAGTATATTATACTTTTGTCATATTGGTTCTACTAAAGGAAGGTAAACCCTTGTCAGAGGCGTGACACATTTTACGAGGCGTAACACATCTTATGAGGCATGACACATCTTATGAGGCATGACACATCTTATGAGGCGTGACACATCTTATGAGGCGTGACACATCTTATGAGGCGAGACAACTTCAACACACTCCAGAGAGCTGCAATATCCAAGTGGCCCTTCAGTTTAGTCAACGTATACAATAACATTAAATAGATTTTTGAGCACAAATGGATGGCGCCAGCTGGAGCTGGAGCCCTCAGGGACGGGCAAATGCTTCTCCAGGGCCATCGAACTCACTTCCAAGGACTTACTAAATCTGCTCCGAACTGAGTTAATTTGTTCCAGCACTCGGCAAATTGTTCCCCGTGAGCCCAGTCTTAACTTTAAGCTGGAAGTTTTCCACGAAGATGCATTCCTGGCTCCTCCGCGACTTTGGTCCAAGTTGTCTCAACTGGATGCAACAAATGTATCGATTTATTGCAATGTTGCAGACATTTGTTACTCAATATGGCAAATTTATGCAAGAGATTATACTGCATTCTCACTAGTATAATTAGAGCAGCACTTCATAATATAATGAAGTTTAATATTTGCTTCGTTAGCATCTTCACGTTAGTGTGGACACACTGACCGAACGAGCCTTCATCTTCACCATGGCTGGAGCCTCTACCTTCACCCTGGCTGGAGCCTCTACCTTCACCATGGCTGGACCCTTTACCTTCACCATGGCTGGACCCTTTACCTTCACCATGGCTGGAGCCTCTACCTTCACCATGGCTGGAGCCTCTACCTTCACTATGGCTGGAGCCTCTACCTTCACCCTGGCTGGAGCCTCTACCTTCACCCTGGCTGGAGCCTCTACCTTCACCATGGCTGGACCCTTTACCTTCACCATGGCTGGAGCCTCTACCTTCACCATGGCTGGAGCCTCTACCTTCACCCTGGCTGGAGCCTCTACCTTCACCATGGCTGGAGCCTCTACCTTCACCATGGCTGGAGCCTTCATCTTCACCATGGCTGGAGCCTCTACCTTCACCATGGCTGGAGCCTTTACCTTCACCATGGCTGGAGCCTCTACCTTCACCATGGCTGGAGCCTCTACCTTCACCGTGGCTGGAGCCTCTACCTTCACTATGGCTGGAGCCTCTACCTTCACCCTGGCTGGAGCCTCTACCTTCACTATGGCTGGAGCCTCTACCTTCACCCTGGCTGGAGCCTCTACCTTCACCATGGCTGGAGCCTCTACCTTCACCATGGCTGGAGCCTCTACCTTCACCATGGCTGGAGCCTTTACCTTCACCATGGCTGGAGCCTCTATCTTCACCATGGCTGGAGCCTCTACCTTCACCATGGCTGGAGCCTCTACCTTCACCATGGCTGGAACCTCTACCTTCACCATGGCTGGAGCCTCTACCTTCACCGTGGCTGGAGCCTCTACCTTCACTATGGCTGGAGCCTCTACCTTCACCCTGGCTGGAGCCTCTACCTTCACTATGGCTGGAGCCTCTACCTTCACCCTGGCTGGAGCCTCTACCTTCACCATGGCTGGAGCCTCTACCTTCACCATGGCTGGAGCCTCTACCTTCACCATGGCTGGAGCCTTTACCTTCACCATGGCTGGAGCCTCTATCTTCACCATGGCTGGAGCCTCTACCTTCACCATGGCTGGAGCCTCTACCTTCACCATGGCTGGAACCTCTACCTTCACCATGGCTGGAGCCTTTACCTTCACCATGGCTGGAGCCTCTACCTTCACCATGGCTGGAGCCTTTACCTTCATCATGGCAGGAGCCTCTACCTTCACCATGGCTGGAGCCTCAACCTTCACCCTGGCTGGAGCCTCTACCTTCACCATGGCTGGAGCCTCTACCTTCACCATGGCTGGACCCTTTACCTTCACCATGGTTGGAGCCTCTACCTTCACCATGGCTGGAGCCTCTACCTTCACCATGGTTGGAGCCTGTACCTTCACTATGGCTGGAGCCTCTACCTTCACCCTGGCTGGAGCCTCTACCTTCACTATGGTTGGAGCCTCTACCTTCACCCTGGCTGGAGCCTCGACCTTCACCATGGCTGGAGCCTCTACCTTCACCATGGCTGGAGCCTCTACCTTCACCATGGCTGGAGCCTCTACCTTCACTATGGCTGGAGCCTTCATCTTCACCATGGCTGGAGCCTCTACCTTCACCATGGCTGGAGCCTCTACCGTCACCATGGCTAGAGCCTCGACCTTCACCATGGCTGGAGCCTTCATCTTCATCATGGCTGGAGCCTCGACCTTCACCATGGCTGGAGCCTCGACCTTCACCATGGCTGGAGCCTTCATCTTCACCATGGCTGGAGCCTCTACCTTCACCCTGGCTGGAGCCTCTACCTTCACCATGGCTGGACCCTTTACCTTCACCATGGCTGGAGCCTCTACCTTCACCATGGCTGGAGCCTCTACCTTCACCCTGGCTGGAGCCTCTACCTTCACCATGGCTGGACCCTTTACCTTCACCATGGCTGGAGCCTCTACCTTCACCATGGCTGGAGCCTCTACCTTCACTATGGCTGGAGCCTCTACCTTCACCCTGGCTGGAGCCTCTACCTTCACCATGGCTGGACCCTGTACCTTCACCATGGCTGGAGCCTCTACCTTCACCATGGCTGGAGCCTCTACCTTCACCCTGGCTGGAGCCTCTACCTTCACCATGGCTGGACCCTTTACCTTCACCATGGCTGGAGCCTCTACCTTCACCATGGCTGGAGCCTCTACCTTCACTATGGCTGGAGCCTCTACCTTCACCCTGGCTGGAGCCTCTACCTTCACCCTGGCTGGAGCCTCTACCTTCACCATGGCTGGACCCTTTACCTTCACCATGGCTGGAGCCTCTACCTTCACCATGGCTGGAGCCTCTACCTTCACCCTGGCTGGAGCCTCTACCTTCACCATGGCTGGAGCCTCTACCTTCACCATGGCTGGAGCCTTCATCTTCACCATGGCTGGAGCCTCTACCTTCACTATGGCTGGAGCCTCTACCTTCACCCTGGCTGGAGCCTCAACCTTCACCCTGGCTGGAGCCTCTACCTTCACCATGGCTGGAGCCTCTTCCTTCACCATGGCTGGAGCCTTTACCTTCACCATGGCTGGAGCCTCTACCTTCACCATGGCTGGAGCCTCTACCTTCACCATGGCTGGAGCCTCTACCTTCACCATGGCTGGAACCTCTACCTTCACCATGGCTGGAGCCTTTACCTTCACCATGGCTGGAGCCTCTACCTTCACCATGGCTGGAGCCTCTACCTTCACCATGGCTGGAGCCTCTACCTTCACCATGGCTGGAGCCTCTACCTTCACCATGGCTGGAACCTCTACCTTCACCATGGCTGGAACCTCTACCTTCACCATGGCTGGAGCCTTTACCTTCACCATGGCTGGAGCCTCTACCTTCACCATGGCTGGAGCCTCTACCTTCACCATGGCTGGAGCCTGTACCTTCACTATGGCTGGAGCCTCTACCTTCACCCTGGCTGGAGCCTCTACCTTCACTATGGTTGGAGCCTCTACCTTCACCCTGGCTGGAGCCTCTACCTTCACCATGGCTGGAGCCTCTACCTTCACCATGACTGGAGCCTCTACCTTCACTATGGCTGGAGCCTCTACCTTCACCATGGCTGGAGCCTCTACCTTCACCATGGCTGGAGCCTCTACCTTCACTATGGCTGGAGCCTTCATCTTCACCATGGCTGGAGCCTCTACCTTCACCATGGCTGGAGCCTCTACCTTCACCATGGCTGGAGCCTCGACCTTCACCATGGCTGGAGCCTCGACCTTCACCATGGCTGGAGCCTTCATCTTCACCATGGCTGGAGCCTCGACCTTCACCATGGCTGGAGCCTCGACCTTCATCATGGCTGGAGCCTCTACCATCACCCTGGCTGGAGCCTCTACCATCACCATTACTGGAGCCTCCATAACATTTTAATTTATCCTTCATTCCAGCGTTATTTACCATGTCTCAACCAGCCTCCGTAACACCAGCGAGTCTCCGCAGTATATTACACTCTTAACCTCTTTCACGCTATAAAATTAATTAAATTTTCTTCTCCCAGCGCTCCACGCCTTCATGTTTGTCCTCAGCTCGACGCCAACATTTTTTTCCCCGTACTCAAGGTCAACATTTTTGCCACGTATTCGAGGACAATATTCGAACCTAATGCTCGGAGAAAGTGGCCCACAAATGATACTCACGCGGCCCCAGCATGATCTTGTGATCTGATAGAATATCTGTGCCCAAAATGGCCACAGAGAGCAGTTGTGAATAGGGTTAAGGGTCAGACGACTTCCATTTCTTTTGTACTGTCAGTATGGCCTAGTGGTTAAGGTACCAGGTACGCCAAGGTGCATAGTGCTCCTGGCTGTCTGGGTTCCAATCCCAAAAATCAGAAAATACAATTTGACGATTTACAACATAAACAAAAAAACGACCAACCTACTCATGAAAAACTCCCCAGACACCAAACACAACGCATTGAAGGAAAGCAACGTCGTCTATGCCTTCATATGCCCAATTGGGGACTGTAAGTCCCAAACAACTCAGTATATAGGCAAGAAAACAAGGTCTCTTTCTAGGCGACTAACAATGCTCGAATAACAGGGCTCCATCAAGGAACGTATAATCTCTTGTGACAACCAGACCATCACCAGAGAAATCTTTACAAGCAACACAGAAATCATCGATAGAAAGAGCGATAGCAGGAGACTCGACATCAACGAGGCACTACACATCACAAAGTCAACATCAGCAATCAACAGCCAATTAACGCATAACTATATTCTAGCCACTTCAAGACTCCGATCCAAGATAGAAGCAGCAAGAGAAAGTATGGGCCAATAGGTCTTCTGTAGTTACTTCCATTCTTATGTTTTCATACCCAATTTATACTCACCTCACCCAAAACTTTTGTGTCATATCACCTCACCCAAAACAAATAAAAGCATGATATGTTATGTGTAAACCAAGTTATTGAAAATGCAAGAAGCCTTACGAAATGCTTCTAGGCGTCAGGCCAAAAATAAAAATGTAAAAGTGAATTTTGAAGAGTTAATTTTTCAATTACCCTCGACATTGAAGAAAAATTTCAGAAATATTGAGAAAATTCGTGTTAGAATTATTAATCTTACCTTTTCGGTCATATTCAAAAACTTATGTTTACAAGAAAGACTGCTACCAAAATATACTAATATATATATATATATATATATATATATATATATATATATATATATATATATATATATATATATATATATATATATATATATATATATATATATGCTTCATTCCCACAGAACATTCCCACATTCCCAGAGCTTCATTCCCACAGAAAATTTATTTGAAGCTATCAAAACGACATCGGCCAGAACCATGCAACACATCCCTAAAGCAGCCCGCCCCCATGCAGCAGCCCGCCCCCATGCAGCAGCCCGCCCCCATGCAGCAGCCCGCCCCCATGCAGCAGCCCGCCCCCATGCAGCAGCCCGCCCCCATGCAGCAGCCCGCCCCCATGCAGCAGCCCGCCCCCATGCAGCAGCCCGCCCCCATGCAGCAGCCCGCCCCCATGCAGCAGCCCGCCCCCATGCAGCAGCCCGCCCCCCTGCAGCAGCCAAATTATCCGCCCTCCTGAGAAAGGTCAACGACTCTCCTGGAACGACCCAAGCGTGGCACAACCTCCTACTATTTGGCAACATATGTCTAGCCACCCCTGCAAGGAGAGACAAAACCTTAGCTGCCTCAGTCATCAAAGCTATAAATGATTTTCCCAGGGAGGACAACCAGGTGCGCCTTCCCACTCGCGCGAGAAATACCCACGGCAGGAAGAGCAACAGTGGCATATCCGAGACATCAAAAATCAGAACATCAGTCACCAAGAAATTAGAAGAAGGAAACACTATTGGGGCAATAAGAGTCATCACCAGTGAGGACTCAATTGCCGACAGAGATGCCGCAACAGCTCAAGCCCTAAGGGAGAAACACCCACCCAGGGCTCCGCGTGAGGACGACATTGTACAAGTTGGGGCTACTGGCAATGTAAAGGGTCTGGGTGTACTCATGTCGGAAGACCTTACCTTTAAAGAACACAATAAAGTAGCCGTCACAACTGCAAAAAAAATGACAGGTTGGATAACAAGAACTTTTCACACTAGAGATGCTATACCGATGATGATACTTTTCAAAACGCTTGTGCTCTCTAGAGTGGAGTACTGCTGCACAATGACAGCCTCTTTCAAAGCTGGAGAAATTGCTGACCTGGAGAGCGTGCAGAGATCCTTTACTGCTACAATCCACTCAGTAAAACATCTAAACTATTGGGACCGACTAAAGAGCCTAAATCTGTATTCTCTTGAGCGCAGGCGGGAGAGATACATAATAATTTACACGTGGAAAATAATTGAGGGGCTGGGCCCAAACCTGCACACAGAAATAACATCACATGAGACCAGAAGACATGGCAGGATGTGCAGAATACCCCCATTGAAAAGCAGAGGTGCAACAGGTACTCTGAGAGAGAACTCTATCAACATCAGAGGCCCGAGACTGTTCAACACGCTTTCACTACACATAAGGGGCATAACTGGCCGACCCCTCACAGTGTTCAAGAGAGAACTGGATAAGCACCTCCAAAGGATACCTGATCAACCAGGCTGTGACTCATACGTCAGGCTGCGAGCAGCCGCGTTTAACAGCCTGGTTGATCAGTCCAGCAACCAGGAGGCCTGGTCGACGACCGGGCCGCGGGGACACTAAGCCCCAGAAGCACCTCAAGGTAACCTCAAGGCAAGGTACTGGAGCAGAACCTCTCTGGGTGGCTGAATCTGTGGTCCATAAATCAGCCTTGTCTTTCCCAACAGGCTCAGTAGGTGGGTTCACAGGACTAAAACCCAACCACCTCAAGCAAATGCTCAACCCTGCACTGGGCGACATTGCACAGGGCCTCCTTGGTGGAACTAACCAGATTCAACCAACACATGTCTAGCTGGCAACATGCCAGAGACCATAAGACCTATCTTTTTTGGATCATCTCTCTTTGCTCTAAAGAAAAAGGTTGTAGGGATCAGGCCAATAGCTGTGGGCAATTATCTCCGGCGTTTCGTCGCAAAGGCAGCTGTAAGAACAGTTAGTGATGCAGCGGCCAACATGCTGAAGCCAAAACAGCTTGGGTTCGGCTTTCCACAAGGGTGTGAGGCGGCAGCCCATGCAGCTCGAGCCTTCATCGCCAACATCACAGACGAAAAGGCCCTTACCAAGCTAGATTTCAAAAATGCCTTCAATTTGGTGTTGTACTCCATGCGGTTCATAGTCATTTCCCTTCCCTCTACCCTTTTGTACATTCATGCTACAGTATGGATCTATAGCTACTTTTTAGCGAACATGAAATTGACTCGTGAGAAGGCGTCCAACAGGGTGACCCCCTTGCTACTCTCCTTTTCTGCTTAGTCATCAAACAAGTCACAGAGGTACTGTCCAGCGAGCTTAACATCTGGTTCTTGGATGAAGGTACCCTAGCTGGTTCCCAAGACTCCCTCCTGGAGGACATCAGAAAAATCCAGGTGCAAGGTACAGTTTTAGGCCTCACCCTGAACCCTTCTAAATGTGAAATAAT